TAAACAAAACACAAATAAATTATATCAACTTGTAACATGCATTAAATTAAAAAATAAATAAATAAAAAAATACTAACCTTTGAATGACTGAAGTTGAGACTTTGAGAATGAGACTTGAGCTTGAGTTGAGAGAATGAGAACTTTGAGAAGATGGGAGTTGGGAGAGTCAAGTTCAAATGATGTCTTGAAGTTGAGACTTGAGAACTTGAAATTTTAAAATTTTGATTCTTGAGTTGAGAGTTAAATTGTATTAGGGAATAGAGATTGTGCTTGAGTTGAGGGGCTAAGGGGGGCGGACCAAGTTAGAATTAGAATAGAAGACAAAAGTTATCAAGAAAATAGAAAGTCAAACTGTTTTATAGAAAGAAGGCTGAAATTTGTATATTTCAAGAAACTTTCTAAGTTCTAATCTAAGTAAAAAATGACACTTAATTCTAATTGTAATTGCCTAATTGGTTGCCTATTTGGTGTAAAAGACTATAGAAACTAGGAGAGAGACAACTTAGTTAAGTAGGAATTAGAAGACTAGGTTAGGTTGTAATTAGGAATTAGGATAGAGGCAACTTAGTTAAGTAGGAACTAAGTCAGTTCGGTTTCGGTTTTCACACAAAGAAAATCGAAACCGACCCAAACCATCGGTTTATGAATTTGTACAACCCGAAACCGATCGGTGCTTATGAAAACCCGGCCAACTCGGGTTGGGTCGGTCCGGGTTGGTCGGTTTGGTCGGGTTGGGCCTTCTTATGAACAGCCCTACTTGCAATGAAGCGGTCTTGATCAAAATCAAATTTGATTCCTGTTATCACCCCGAATACCGAAAAAAAGGACTTCATTGTTATTAGGTAGATTTAAAAAAAAAAAGAAAAATTAAAATTCTAAAAAATTAGGAAAGGGGTGGAGTAGTAAGGAGAGACATGCTGATATGGCACATCCAAGTTTCATTTTAGACTAGCGGCGCGCCGATGCCATGCACGAAAAAATCTGATATATTAAATGAAATCTAATCACCAATGTAAATAAATCAAATAATTAATTTTAGGATAAATTTCTTAAACTACCCTTATGGTTTAACTAATTGACTAAGTGTACTCTTACCTTTTGAAAATTGACTAACATTTCCCTTATTGTTTCTCACAATTGACTAACTCTACCCTTATCATTAACATCCGTTAATATTCCGTTAAAATCCGTACGCACATGATATCATGTGACGTTTAAAATTTTTTAAAACCCAAAGCTACCCTTGTCTCCTTCCTCTCGACCCGGCACACCCTTCATCCTCCGACCTCTCTCTCTTCCCTCTATCTTCCTCCCACAGTCTCCATCAACCTTTTTCTTACGCTTTTGGTTCTTCAACCCCTCCTCCTCAGAATGCGAAAATCTCCCAAACTGGAAAAGAGAGAAAACAAGTTTCTTCATCTTTGTAAGGCAGTAAGTTGATTCGTCTTCATCTTTTCAAGCATCAGCCCTTTTTCTATTTCCTGTGATTTCTCACGTTCGATCTCCTTCAAGTATCATGGAGTCTGCAGCCGGAGTTGCCGCAGGGCATGGTGGTTCGCTACTGATGCCTTCTCAATCTGCAAGGAAGGAATGGCGTGCCGTTTCCGACCATCATTCCGTCCAAAGTGTCGGAAATGAGGTAAAGATACCTTCTATTCCAAGCTGGACCTCTTCCTTTCTACCTCTCCTTGTCTCCTATTCGTACTCTTGTTCTTTGGCGGTTTGTTAATAGAACGTAACTGCTAGACAAGAGTTGGAACGGTCGAAGATGGGGCAATCCGATGAGAGAACGATATATGAGGTAAGACTCATTTTCCAACTTTCGAGTACTAGATTACAGTTTTGAAAAGTCCTTTTTTTGTTGAGGACTGAGGGCAATCATATGTTTTGCAAGGTACAACAAGGAGCAGGGTCACTTGATGTTGACTTCTATTCGATTACCATGGATGGAGGTATAGATAGTGACACATTGCAGCAACGTCTTCATAATGTCTCCAGACAGAGGGAGGACCTGCAACAGATGGAAATCGAGCTTAGAGCTCAACTAATAGCTAGATCCGAGATAATGGAAATGCAGAACAACTTCGATGCACAGATCAAAGAACACGCTAATATTGTTGCTAAACTAAAGGTTTCAGTTCTTATTTTTGTTCTTAAATCAAATTTTCCATCTAATGTGCTCCCTTCTCAACTGTACCACTCAATCTCGATTTGGGTTGTAACTCCACCCAGCGGCGGGAGTTACAGGGTTGTCTTAGACAGCATTGCCATGTAACTCCACCCAGTAGTGGGAGTTACAGGGCTTTCACGGGTTTTGACGAAAGTTAACGGTAAGTATAGAGTTTGTCAATTGTGAGAAATAGTAGAGGTAGCCTCAGTCAATTTTAAAACAGTAAGGGTATAGTTAGTCAATTAGTTAAACCATAAGGATAGTTTAAGAAGTTTACCCTTAATTTTATTGTTAATTTTTTATGAATTATCATAATGGAGTATTTTACAGTTTATTACAGTTATTAGAGTAAATTAATTAATTTAGTGTTAATTTCAGTTTTTATTTTGAACGCAATATTGGCCCAGATGATCAAATCGTTCAGTTTTTTATGATTAAATACAATACATATGCAAAATTCCAACTAATTTAATAGTTAACTGCTAATTATAGTAATTATAGTAAATTAATTAATTAACTATAAATTTTAGTGTTTTCAACTCATCATTTACTTAAATGATTAAACCGCTCAAATCAAAACCCGCGAAAGAGGTATTCTTCGTTCGTATTAAATAATCGTCCATTTTAACATATGTTGTATCTTTTGTGAAAATATAAAACATAAAAGCTTTTCTTAATTAATTAAATTAATCTTTTAGTTGCATCATCTTGTTGCTCATCTTTCTCTTTCTCTTTGTTCTATTGCTAACTTCATTTTGTTCTATTTCTCATTCTGAAGAGATGATGTTGTTGGGATTTACACTACTCGTTCTTGCAACTACCTCAACAATGATATCAAATCTTTTCAAAGTTCTTTGACAGTGAATACTCTCCCCATGTATCAGATCTGAAATTAAAGATAAAAGAATTGAAAAGAATTCTTCTCAGGATCATAAACTGTTGAGGGATTCTTTTCATGATCTCTCATTTAGGAGAAATGGAGAATGTTGAGTTGCTTGAACCAAAATACTTGTTAAGAGGCATGTGACTAAATCCATAAAAAGCATTGTGATATTATCATCAAATCTGCTTTAAGTTTTTAATGTCAGATTCAATTCGACGAAAAGGATAAATTGAACTCAAATGATTACTAGAATACTACTTTCAGTACATTGTCCTTCAACAAGAAGATACTTCTCTTTTGATATGCATTATTAACCAATTTGAAAATTCGATCAATTGCATGAAGGATCATGAGCCATTTGTTTCTAAGGAAGGCCTAGAGCAGCTCCACCACTTTATTTTCTACATGACAATAACACAAAGTTGCTTAACAATATTGTGCTTAACATGTATGCATGTTGGTCGCATAGACATGCCTCTAGAATTTATATCTTAAAGCAAGGTTTTTAAAATTGATCCGGAGAACGAATCCGTCAGGCATCCGGTTCCCGAGTCAAAACAGTCGGTTCATTTTGACAAAAAAAAATGGTCAAAATTACTGAACGGTTTATATGGTTTAACCACCCAGGTCAGTAATTTGCTGAACAAATCAACATATATTTTGCAAATATCCAATTTTGAAAAAAAAACTGAATTAAT